CTGAGACGACTCCAACTATATCAAGAAAGGTCACTTTTTATGCTCACAATGCATCATATATGCTGCCTCATCTTGAGTGACTTTCTTGTTGGTACATGTGTTATACACACCAAACAATTTTCCTCTTTTCTTTCACTTCACTCCCTGATTCAATGAAAAAAATAGCTTAAAATTTGTTTAAGTTTCATATTTAATCCTAAGAGCTTTAATTATTTTAGTTAGATAAGATTGAATTTTATTTTTTCGAATGTGAGTATAAACCGAGCTACAAAATCATTCCCTAATATTGCATCAATCCAATACCAAGCCAATCAAATTAAATCATCAAGCCTAAACTCAAACCAACTAAATATAAAAGGTTTAAATTAAAAAAAAAGTTGTGTGAAAAAAAAAACCTAAGGATTAAAAGAAGAAGAAAAAATATTTTTGAGCACTGTTACAATCCATATTGGATTGTGTTTTGCTCCATATTAATTTCACTACCTCTTTTAGAACATGTTTAGAATTAAATCACATACTAAATTGAATTTAATTCATAAGCAAATTTGAATTCAATTGATAACATATTAAATTTTTTATGTTTGGAATAAATTATTAAATCATATAATTAAATTCAGTTATACTATTTGAATACTCGATGACAATTTTGACTATTTTACTTTTATATAGAGATTATTTTTTTACAGAAATTATTTCATTTTACTACAAGAACCTTTATATTTATTAAAATGACATGAAATATAAGCATTTTAAAGAAGATATAAATATACCTATCTCATATTAATACCTGTCTTTTTATTGGAATGTTGAGCAAAAATAATTCTAGAAATATTCCAATAAAAATTCTTGATTTTTTTCTCATATTAAACTTAAATAAAATAAATACCAAATCAACACAAATCAAATTGCCAAATAAACAAGCCAATGACTAACATAATTTTGACAATGTTAATAATTAAAAAAGATACCACAATTCTTAGTTTTAATATTTCAAAAGCTATCACCATACAAATCACGCAATAAAAAGTTTTAACTTTAAAATAAGCTTTGGACAATTGTGTAAATAAGTTTATGACAATTGCATAAATATTAGCTTTAAATTTTATGCATAACTTGAACGCTTCAATAACATATTACAAACCTATTTTTATTTTTCAAACCATTCAAAGAATAGCTCTTTTGAATATCCAAAAGATATTCTAATAATAGTAGGATGATTTATGAGCTATTGAACTGCTTCAAAAAGATTTGATGCCTCAAATCCTAATTTTCTCATTGCTTCAATTATCTTGGTTGGCTTCCAAACTCAATCGTTTATGTTGATAATAGCATATGCAATAGTATTCAGTGCATAAATCATCTTTTTAATTTATAAGAAATAATCACTTGTCATTGGTGCCTTTTATTTTGTATATTTCAAAGATGAAGTTATAGAAAATGATGAAGTAAATGATAATGGACCTTGTGTTCTTGATATTGATAAAGCACTTTCACAATTATAGGGATGAGATTTCTGTAAATAAATTTCATTACTTGCTTGCATCTCATCAATGTCATGTTATTCATTTCCCTTCTCTTTTCCCCTATCTTTAAACTTTTTTTCTAGCACCCTTGACTTGAGCTATAATTGTTATATCTTTCTCATTTATCTCTTCAAGAATGTCTAAGTGATGAAGATACTTTCCTTAAATAAGCTTTGGCTAAGGATTGACCTTGTAACAATTAATAAATAAATAAAACAAACAAACAAGTTAAGATTATTATAATTAATAAATATATAATATAAATCATATATTGAAACCTTACTTAACAACTTAAACTTTTAGATTGAGATGGTTTCTTAACACAATTAACCTAGTAATCACAAGTTTGAATCTTTTTACTACCATTCTATTTAATAAAATTAAGCACAAGTTAGTATAGACATGTGCAAGTTTCAAGCTCAAATAACTTTCATTTAAGGAAGGTGTATTAGAAAGTGATATAAATTATATCTTGGGGTTTCACTTAATAGCCTAAACTTTAGTGTTGAGATGACTCTTTGATAATAATAATGATGATGGTAATGATAACAGCTAAATCATAATATTCAGTTGAGTTATGTTATTAGCAAAATCTTTTTTTTTTTTTTGTATTTTACCTTATCTTGCTAAGAAATTACTTCTGTTTATTTTAAAATATTTCAATAAGTATATAGTTAACACCTTGTTAAGAAAGAAAAGGGTGATTTTACATAAAATTGATGTCTTAATGAAAATACCTCCAACTTTAGAATATTTGGTTACCAATTTTTTTAATAGGTTTCAATTAATGATTTCTTTGCCTCTTTTATCTCAAACAATCTTGTTTTACTGGCTCACTTTTAATACTATTTTTTCCTCATCAAACAATAATTTCTTTGAAAAGATGAAAGCCTTTTTTCTTTCTAATAAGGCCTTCTCTCTTCTTTCTATACTAAGCGTCCTGGATAGTAGCATTGCTAATGTTTTTCAAGCCTTTTTTATTGCCATGGTTGCACCTTTCTTTTAATAAAAACATGCAACTTCCACTTAAAAATCTTATTTTAGAAATGAAATGTTTATGTGTGATAATTTGCTTACCCTACCCTCAATTAAGATATCATATAATAAGTAAATCGAATGGGTTGTAAACTTTCACGTTGTATATAGATGAAAAAGCTCATCAGTCTTTTTTAAGAAAACTCAAACATGCTTAAAAACTCTTAGGTTTTTATTCAAACTATACATGTTTTTTGTTTGGAAATTGGGATCCCGATAAAACATCAAAAGATCCAGAACATTTTCTAAGAAAATGATGAAAAATAAAAAATAAAAAAATTCCCAATAGATTTATAATTTTATAACCTTTTGAATTTGAATTTTTAAGATCAATATATATGAATTGATGGACTAAGACTTATCAATATTTTTTAAATAACTTTTTATCAGCCAAAACTCATTTTAAAGATAATTTGAACCCTAGAGGGCTTGAAAACAAGTTTGGCCTAGGCATCAAGCGCTTGTCGTGATGTCCCTCAAATCATACTGAGTGACTTGAGTATAATCTTTTGAGTCTATATTTATGGCCCAGACCCAACGCTTGACCCCTTGGGATTTTTTATTATCCTGCTTTTTAGCCTGAATTCTATTCTATTTTACACCCTTAATTGTATGAAAGTTTTCTATGACCTACCACATTTTCATTTTATTAACACAAATGTAAGATATTTTTATCCCTAATTAATATTTATATTAGATGTATTTGTCCCTTATTAATACTTATATAAAAGATATTTATCCCTTTTAAAGGATATTATAGGGGTTAATCAAAGTACATGATTTATCAACAAAACCTAATTGATAACCTAACCAAAGAAAACCCATGAATAATAAAACTATCAACCCAATTAATGTATTTTATAGCCAAATAACATATTTATATCTAATTCAACTAAATCTCTAATTTAAACTAAAAAACATAAACTCTAACCCTAATTCACCAACACCATAAAAAACATAAACTCTAACCCTAATTCACAAACACCATCACCAACACCATCACCACCACCACCACCATAAAATCATCAATTTTCTTTAAAAATACCACCACCATCACCACCACCATCACCATAAAATCATCAATTTTCTTTAAAAGTAACAATTCAAATCAATGAATTTTATAGCTAAGTAGTCTTATTAAAAAAAAAAACTTAATTTTTTTTAAATCACTAATTTTAAATCCTAACATTTTCAAAATCAATAATTAACATAAATTATATTAAATTGATAAAAAAAATATATAATATAACTCGAAGAGTTAAATGAGAATGATAGTGACTAATGATGACAATAACAATTAAATATTTAGTGAGAAACACGCGGGTGGAGAGAGAGAGAGATCATATTGTAGTAGAGAGAGAGGGCGTGGTCTCACGGTGAAGGTGAGAGTATTTTGAGATGAGAAAGAGTGAAATGATTCTCGATGATAATAAAGATATGAGGTGTGTGGTGGTTATGGAAAGAAAAAATAAAATAAAATAAATTAAAGAGTTTAAAATAGTTTGAAGTCACAATTGCTACTGCATCTTAAAAGTCACTATTGTTGAATGCAACAAATATGATAATAGTAATTTTTAGATATTTTTTTTGCTGTATTATTTTGTTGTGATAAAAAAACTCAACTTTATTCCATAGAATCCCAATTTTCGACTAGACTGGAGCGTAGTCTAGCCCTTGTCCATCAAACGACACGTTGGCTTTTTTACAGATTCCATCTGCCTTTGGAAACAAATCAGCGGTCAAGATTGGATAGGTGGTAGGTGGGCTATGTGTACAGCCACACCAAGCACATTGATGGACCTCAAAGCCAAGTCCATATCAACTTCAATTGTTTCTTTTTCCTTGCAAATTTGTCCCTTTCTCTCTTTTATTTAGTTAGAATAATGGAATAAATTATGACTTGATCCCTGATTTTCTTATGAAATATTTAGTAAATCCCTTTATTTTAAAAAATAAATATCAAGCTCTTAATTTTCTTAGTTTACTGTAACCTAGCTTTATTTTTGTTTTTCATTGTAACTAAAATTGTTTCTATCTTATCTTTATTTTTTTCGTAATTCAATTTTCTAATTTTACCTATTCAAGACAAAATTATAAGTGTTTATTTAACAGTGTGGTTATGATTATTTTTTAAATAACTTTTTATGTTAAAAAGTATGTTAATAATTTTTTTTATTTTTTTAAAATTATTTTTGACATTAGCATATCAAAATAATTTAAAGTAAATAAAAAATAAATTTTTTTAAATTTTTTCAGAAGCACTTTTAAATTTTAGTGCTTTCAAAAACATTAATTTAGAAATTTTAAAAGAAATTAATAGGAAAATTTGATTAAGGTACGAAGTTATGATTTTAAAGAAAAGGGACTAACATTAAAAATAATGAAAAACATAGGGCCTAATTTATTATTAATAATAATAAGTAGAAGAGGCCCTCAGCAGACTCGGAATCTGTTTAGGCCATAGCCTACCCCTTGTGAAGAAGGTCCAATTTAGGGTTTTGTTTGGTTCTTCTATTTCTTCCTTTTCTTTTCTAATTTCAAAGCTCCAAGCTTTCAAAAGAAAGCTCTAAACTTTTGCTTTGCAGCTCATCAAGTAAGCCTCAAAGCCCATCATGATCATGATCATCTTCTTCTTCCTCCGTAATTTTCTTTTTTGTTTTTTTTTTTAAATCAACTAATTTTAAAAAAAAATCAAGAAATTTAATTTTGATATTCTTCTTCTTCTTGCAGGGTGGTAGTTTCTTTTCCTGAATTGTCTTCCTTCAGTTCAGATCAGTCAGTCAAGGTAAGAAGAAGTTGCTGTTGTTACTTAGTTTCTGCTTGTTTTCTTTGACCTGTTATGGTGGCTTTGTCTTAAAAAACTGTCTTCCTGTTTGTTTCAGTGTGGTGGTTTAAGGTTGTTCTGCTTGTTGGGTTTGATTCATAGTCCTGCCTCTGCTGTTTCTTTCTTCGTTTACTGTCAGTGATATGTAGCTCGCTGCATCAGTTCTTTTCTGGCTAGGGTCAGGGTTAGGGCTTTTTTGTGGTTGTATAGGTATGATATAGCTCATTTGGTGTAATTCTTTTGAGTAAATTCCTAGGAGCTTTCACTCTATACTGGTTGTTGGTTGTCCTATGTCAAACTGTGACAATTGCAATCCTCACCAATTTTTCGAACCATTGCCTGTGTACATGTCTATTTCAACGTTTCCTTATGTTTGGTGTTTCTTGCTGGCGTAGACATTTTAGTTTAACAGTCAGGCATCTGTTATTTGAAAGTCTGTCATATGGGATATTATTGAACTTTTTTAATGCACTTGAACGCTCTTATTCTGCATGTGTATATTGGACTGGATGCTAAATAGCTAGTTCTAAGAGCTCCATTATCAGTGTTGTCAAGAGGCGCTGAGGTGCTCGTGAGCACCTGGTCAATATATCTGTTATTTTTCCCTGTTTTGACCTATTTGCCCACATTCTTTATATCTACCACCAAAAACAATTTAAGGTTATAGTTGTATAAGAGATGATAATCATGAAATGCATATGGGGGCCTTGAGTGAAGGAGATGAAAGCATGGTTGATAATGTGTTGGAAAGATGATATTTAAGCTTAACTATTTTAATCTATTTGCTCTTCTAAGTTGTCTTATTTTGTTTTTAAGGTTGAATAGTATAACTTTTTGTGACCGTTCAAATATTTTGAGTTTCAGTTTGATTTTCTAATCTTAATTTTTAACATATATATTTATGATTTATATATTATAATATCATACATATATTTTAATTGAAATTATAGCATAGCGCCTTGTTTTATCGAGGCGAGCGCTTAGGCAAGTGCATGGCGCTTTGGATGTTTGACAACCTCGATGCCTTAGGATGCCTTTTGCTTTTGACAACACTTTCCATGATTAGTGTTTATAATCGAAGGTGATCAATTGATTCTGATTTGAACTTTTTACCATTATTGATGTTCCTTTTTGACAACATTGGTACACATTCCTCGCACACTATTTAAATGCTATTTTTTTTATTTTTTTATCGTTGAGTTTGAAATTTGTTATGACTGTTCTGCATAAAAATGAAATTTATAGTTCTCCATCGTTGTCTTATTTGTTTTTTAACGCCATCTATTTCCTGCTATGCTACTGCAGGATCGAGCCTTATCATGGAAGTAGAAGACCCCATGAGTCCCACTATGGCGATTATCCCTGTGACGCCAACAATTAACAATGGGCCACCCACTTCTGAGGAACAGCCTAATAAACGGAGGAGAAAGAAGTCTATTGTCTGGGAACACTTCACAATTGAAACTGTTGGAGCTGGTTGTATGAGAGCATGCTGTAAACAGTGCAAGAAATCATTTGCATACATTACTGGTACAAAGCTTGCAGGAACCAGCCACCTCAAACGACACATTGCCCTGGGGATCTGCCCTGTAAGCCGTCAGAAAAATGAATCATCACCATATACACCAGGCTCGAAAACAGACCCTCCTAAAAAACGTTTCCGAGCATCTCCTGGATTCTCAGGCATTCCCTTGGATCAGGACCGCTGCAACCATGAGATAGCTAAGATGATCATACAGCATGATTATCCACTCCACATAGTGGAACACCCTGGTTTCATTGATTTTGTCCGGACTCTTCAACCTCATTACAATATGGTGAATTTTAACACCATTCAAGGTGAATGTGTGGCTGTGTACCTGAGGGAGAAGCAAAGCCTCTTGAACCTTATCGGTGGAATTCCCGGACGAGTCAATCTCACATTGTATTTGGGGACTTCAAATCTAGATATCGGATATGCTTTCTTAACGGGTCACTTTGTTGATGGTGATTGGAATTTACAGCAACGGATCCTTAATGTTGTGACATTACCTTTCTATGATTCTGATTATGCCTTCAATGAAGCAATTGTGTCTTGCCTATCTGATTGGCAATTGGAGAGCAAGTTATTTACTCTTACCCTCGATCAATCCTTCTCAAATGAGACCGTAATTGGAAATCTAAGAGGACTTCTTTCTGTCAAGAACCCATTTGTGCTCCGTGGTCAATTACTGAAAGGGAATTGCTATGCCCGTGTTTTAAGTTGTCTTGCACAAGATGCACTCAGTGCCACAGGGGATATTGTCATGAGAATCCGTGAAAGTGTGAAGTATGTGAAAACTTCAGAAGCTCATGATGAGAAGTTCACTGAACTAAGGCAACAACTTCAAGTCCCTAGCACAAAAGACCTCATTATTGATGATCAAACTAAATGGAATACAACTTACCAATTGCTGGTGGCTGCCTGTGAATTGAAAGAAGTATTTGCTTGCTTAGATACTTCTGACCCTGTTTACAAGATAAACCCATCAATCGATGATTGGCAGAAGGCGGATATTCTCTGCACATACTTGAAGCTTTTATATGATGCAGCTAACATTTTGACAGGCCCATCATACCCTCCTGCCCATGTATTTTACCATGAAGTGTACAAAATCCAGTTAGAGCTGACAAGTGCAGCCATGAGCCATGACCCCTTTGTCAGAAACTTGACCAAACCCTTGAAAGAAAAGTTTGATCAATATTGGAACGATTGCTTCCTTGTTTTGGCAATTGCAGTAGTCATGGATCCAAGGTTTAAGATGAAGCTTCTTGAATTTAGCTTCCCAAAGGTCTTTGGCGAGGATGCTGGTATGTGGATCAAGAGTGTTGATGATGGTATTCATGAACTTTTGGTAGGATATCTTACACCCAATTTTCATCTACCGGCAACAGATGTGGAAGAAGGGCTTGTCAGCATTCCTCAATCAGACAATCTACAAGAAATTGAAGTAGCACCTGCTCCGGATGAACACTTTCAAAGACTACCTGCCCAAGAAGTGCACCCTCAAGAAGTACCTCATCAAGTGGTACACCCTGACAAAGCAACTCCTCAAGAAGTGCCTCTTCAAGATGGGCACCACCAAGAGGTGTCTCTTCATGAGTCGCTCCTTCAAGAAGTGCCCTCACAGGTAGTGACCCCTCAAGAGATGCATGCTGAAGAAGTGCCTTCCCAAGAAGTATCATCTCATGAGATATACACTGAAGTGCCCTCCCAGGAACCACCCTCAGATGAAATGCATCCTCAAGAAGCACCTCATGAGTCGCACACTGAACAAGTGCCTTCTCAAGAGATGCAAAGTGAAGAAGTACGCGCTCAAGAGATGAACAATGAAGAAATACACCCTCAAGATATTCACACTGAAGAAGTCCTCTCCGAAGAAGTATCTGCTCAAGAGATTTGCTCTGAAGAAGTTCCCTCCCAAGAAGTATCCATTCAAGAGATGCAGACAGAAGAAGCGCTGCCTGAAGTGATGCAGACAGAAGAAGCGCCATCTCAAGCAATGCAGACAGAAGAAGTGCAGCCGCAAGAGATGCAACTCCAAGTAATCTGTCAGGGGATGCAGCCTCAAGAATTACACACTCAAGATCTACCTATGCTTTCTATTGGAGATGGGCTTTCAGATTTTGATATATACATCTCCGAGATTACATGTGGGCAACATTTCAAGTCAGAATTGGATCAGTATCTAGAGGAGTCGCTTCTGCCTCGTGTGCATGAGTTTGATGTGTTAGGTTGGTGGAAACTAAACAGACTGAAGTATCCAACACTTTCCAAGATGGCCGTTGATATTTTATCGATACCAGTGTCTACTGTTACTCCTGATTCAGTGTTTGACACTGAAAACAGAAGGATAGATAGCTACAGGAGTTCACTGCGTCCTGTGACACTTGAAGCCCTTATATGCGCCAAGGATTGGCTCCAGCATGGATCATCATTGTTGTCATCACCATCACTGTAGGTTTCCAACGCACCTGTGAAGAAAGAATTTTAGGAATCATGTAGGAACCTGTTTTGCCGTTCAACAGTGTAGGTTTAGGCTTATGCTATTGCTCTTTTTTTCTTCTTCTGCCATATAAGATGTTTGATTAGGATTTGTTCTGCTTCTTGGTTATCAGTGATTACTTCGGATTAGTGCCTTTTGTCGTTCATGTGGCCTTGTGCTAAGCTTTGATAGCACATGCTAATATCAATACGCAGGCTTCAGTTTCCTTGTGCTCTCCTCAACTCATCATGTATTTTAAAATTGAAAAATAATCAAAATTAGCATTTTATTCTCTTCTTTATTGTGGCTTTGATTCGATGATATAAACCTGTCGCACTGAATTATGGTGTAAAGCCTGCAAATGTCACCGTGTGGTTCCTTTAGTAGCTGTTTTTCTGCAATACCTTCTAATGGCTTACGGAGATGATGCAGGGAGCGCTAGCTAGTTTTTTAATATTGGTATTTATTCATATATTTTTTTCTCATTTTCAGTTTGCAAGGTCAAAACTATTCTATCTAATTATTCATATAAGTAATTTTTATAAGTAGTTCTCCTAAATAAAATAAAAGTTAAAAATAAATAATTCTATGATTTTTTAAATTTTAAAAAAATGTTATATAGCAAAAAGAACCTCTCTTAGTTTAAATAAATAAAAAAAACACCGAGATAAATTTAGTATATGGGGGAATCTTTTAAATCACTTCATTACTTGATTTGGAACGTTTATGAAACAACAAACCATATTATAATCTCCCCATGCCATCAAAATATGAACACTATTTTCTAGTCCAATTAAAAAAAATATTTCTTTATCAGATTATAATAATTCCAACTATAAATTAATAATAAAATGATTTTATTTATTTATTTTTCTTATATGTAAGACCACCGGATGGAAACTAGAATTGGATGCAAGTTGTATTCACTACTACTTTGAGAAAATTGATCCATATATTGAAGTAGTCTTCATTTGGTATTTGGTAAACAAAAATCAAGTTAACAGAATCGGTGGTGAAGTCTCCTCTATATTATTTTAGTAGGTAGTTTTTAATTACTATTTTAGGATAGAAAAAACAAAAATAAAAAAGACATGTTTCTTTGTATTTTCTGTTTTAAAAATATATAAATTTATTATAAAACTATTTTAGAGACAAATTTATTGTGTATTTTTATTTATGTTTCTCCAACCAAATATATTTATATTTTTATTATATTTGTTTCTTTTGTCAAGAGATATTAATTAAACACAAGTTAAATTTAACAGATTTATTATAAAATGTTAAGAAAAACCATTATCCCAATAAAAAAAACTTAAAATTATAATTGAAAACTAAAAAAAAAGGTCTATACTATCAACTACACAAATTGGAGTTTGTCCATCTTTGATTCCTTGAATCACGCTTTCTAGTAGGGATCGGTTCGTGCTCTTTCTTCTTTGATCAATTAATTATTATTTCTAGTAGTGCTCTTTTTTTTCATCCATTTTTTTTTGCCAATTCATGACCAAATTAATAACTAATTTAAGTATATTTATTAAAAAATGACATAATTGAAAAAAGAGGATCAAAATAAAAAAAACATGATATAATGGGCGTCAATTTCAAAATTCAAACGAAACACTCACCTTGATTCTCTTACATTAAAATTATATTTTTTTTTATTTTTCAATATTTAAAAAATTCAATTGCAGTTCAAAACTTAATTTTTTTATTTCTCAATTTCTAATTTGAGAGAGGAAAGAGAAAGATTTGCTGAATTTAGATTATAGAGAAAAAGTCTTAATTGACACATATTCTAATAATAAAAAATGATGATTTTTATGTCAAGAATTCCATTCAATAATGAGAGTTCTATCTATATATTTTTTGTTCTTCTCATTATTGAAATAGTAGATTTGAGCTCAAGAAGTTTTTTTGGTTGATTTTGGATTTTAGGCTATTTTTTTGGGTAATTTGAGGCCATGAATAAATTTGTCAAGTTATGTAGGGTGTTTTTTAGGTATAATTTGAGGCCATGAATAAATTTGTCAAGCTATGTAGGGTGTTTTTTAGGTTAAAATTTAGTTGAAAATTAAGTCTCTCAGCAAAAAAATCACAATTTGAATTTTCAACGAATCTCTAGTCTCCCAAAACTAGGTTTCACTTGCTTTTTTTTTTCCTTAAAAAACATAAAGGTTGAATGACAAGAAAAAAAACCCAGCCTAAATGCACATCTTGAGCCTTTTTTCTGGTCCAAATTTTTTTATTCTTTTATTGTTTCATTCAATTTCATCCTTTAATATTAACTTGTTATTAAATATTTTATTTGCTAATTTTCTTTTCAATTTTAATATGTTTTTTTTAAAACTATGTTGTTTTTTAATAGAACATTATTTAATTTTTATTTGTTTTATGAATAAGATTTCAATTCTTTTTTTTTCTAGATATTAGTAGGCATTCTTTCTATGTAGCTCTATTTTTTTTTTAATTTTATTCAATTGTTTTTCTCTACATGTCTTTTTTTTTATTATCATTTTATAACATTGGTTTTAAGAAAAAAAAGTTATCAAATACAATCAAGTCTTTTGCCTGTGTTTTAAGATCAAATATCTACATTGACATCCATATCTATCTCTTAATGTCGTTTAGTTTTTACTTGGTTCTCACATAAAATGATAATACTCGTTTTTCAAATATATGGAACCTTGCATCATATTTTTCCCTTTGATTTTATTCAATTGCTTTTATGTATATCTATTTTTATGATCATTTGTTTTACTAAAATTTAATTCTAATAAACAAAGTTATCAAATACAACAAAGTACATGACTTTTGTTGCGAAATTAAATATCTTGATTTACATTTTTTTTTTGATTTTTTTTCTAGTTTAGTCTATTATCATTATTGGTTTTTCTTTTATTTTGTACAAATAATTCTTGATTTATTTAATTAAATGCATTTAGAAGTTTTTTAATTTATGATTAGGAATTTTATGTCAATAACACATTAGAAAAGCTTGTATATTTATTTATTTTTGCTAGAAAAAAATTATTGGCCCCACGATGGAGCACAAGTCAAAAAGTTGGTTAAATATGATTCTAGTAATTTTACATTAATTAATTATTATTATTAACAAAAACTAAAAGAGGTGGTGTTTTTTTTGTACTCTACATCACAAAACACTATTCATTATAATAGTTTTTAAAACTATGTTTTTTTAATTTTATTTTTTAATATTTGGTTTCATTAGAGATCGAGCTTCATGATTTATTATAGTTTAATTTTTATGTGGTTATCCTAGTCTCATGACCTATGTCGCGAGTTTAGCAGTTTAATTCGATTGACTTAAGTCTTTTTTCTTTCAATTTCATCATTCAATATTAGGTTGATTAATAATTAGACTTCATGATTTGTTGATGTTTTTTCTATTATATTATCTTGATCTCATTACCCAAATCATGAGTTTTGCAAGTTAACTTAGATTGACACGAGTTGTTTTATTGTGTTTTTTTTTAGATTGAGGTTTTTTTTTATTCTTCAACAATCCGATTAGAAATTTAATCTCATAATTTGTTTTGATTTATTTTCTTTGTAGTTATCCTAGTTTTATGACCCGAGTCGTGAGTTTGGTTAGTGTTAATCGATTTAGAAGAATAAATTGAGGCTAAAATCCAAACTTGACCAAAATTAAAAGAATTAATTAAGTTTAAAGACTTACTTATAATAGAGATTAATTGATTTACTTAAGGACTTAATTGAAGAAAAATTAAGTTTGAAAGTTAATTTGGCAAAAATTAAGTAAGTTTAAGGACTTAATTAAACTTCTAATGAGTTTTATGGGTTCAATCAAGGACCTAGTCAATGAAAAATCAAGTTTGGAGGTCTAATTCGGGTTAATCTACAATAATTGAATGAAAAAGAGACACAATTGAAACTTTAAAGAGCTAAAATGGTGCATTCAAGGGTTCAGTTGAAAGAAATTTAAATATTGAAGGTTCATTAAGGGTCAACTTGAAGAATTTCATAACCAAAGTGCAAACGACGTGTAAGTTCATGAACTAAAATTAATCAAATAAAGGGTCAGTTTAAAAGAAATTGAAAGTTTCGTGGTTAATAGTGGTCAAGTTGTATAATCTAGAAACCAAAGACTAATTTGTAAAAAACACTCAAATTAAATGATTTAAATCAAAGTTTACAGGAGTGCAATTGTAAAAATTAAGAAGTTTTAAAGGTCAATTGTAAAAATCAAGTTTTCAAGCACATATGTTGAAATTAGAAAGACATAGACCAAAATTAAAATTTCAAAATTCCCAATTAAAAACTATAATTTGTAGGGTTTAAACAGATAATATATCACTCATTTTTATTGAAGAAACTGAATGACATGTCGTACCATCCTTGTTTATCATCTTTTTTAGCAGACACAAGCTAATCTAGATGCCACTTTTAGATGAATAAATATGGCATCCCCGATAACCTTATAGGCTCTAATTGACTAAGAACATCTCCTCTACAGGGATCAACTATTCCCATCAAATGTTTACATTCAATTTATTTTAATGATATTGACAACTTCTTATCCTTAATTATCCTCCCTTACATTGATTGGGGGACTAATCTTAAAAATAAATGGGGAGTTCTAGACCTCTAAATCAAATGAGGTTTGTTTTTAATGGTAGATATATATCCCCTCTATATGATTCATGCATTCCTATGATACATTTATATCCTATTTGTCATGATGATGTCATCAAAGTAGCATACTTAGTCAATCATGATTTAAGAATAAAATTTCATGTTTAAGCAGACTTCATGGCTGCTTTCTCTTGATATGTTTGAGCTCATAAAAGGATAAAATGAGCCTTTATAAGAAGGCTATAAGAAAGGATGAAGAAGAATCTTCTATAAACAACTTATGTTGTGAAAAACCACCATGGTTTTGCAACCTCCTGGTTTTGGGGCTTACCTGTAAAAGAAAGTGGTTTCAGAGATGACGTGAACTTCTTGATTACATGGTAAAACGACCCCAACAAAGTAGATAATAACCCGAAAAGTTGAAAATTAGATTTCATAGAAACTTGACCTAGATGTAACCCTATATCTAAAAACTAAAGGTATTAAAAAAAGGCTTGGACTTAGAGTTAACCTTGTATCTAAGAACCTTAAATATGCGAATTATACAAAGAAGCTAGTTAATCTTCGATAAGTCAGTGTATAATTTTTTATCCCTACAAAGAAAGATTATTTTGC